GAGACTTAAGTAAGAGAGTTGTGTCATGTTGGAGAGTGAACCTGGGATGTTCCCGGAGAAAAAACATGATGTAAGGCGCAAGAATGTCAAATGATGGAGGTTGCTTAAGGATTCTGGTACAATCCCAAAGAAACCTGTGTCTAATACATCCAGATGCTCAAGTAAGCTGTTGTTAAGAAACTCAGGAAAGGAACCACTAAGGCTGGGATTGGATGCCACATCAAAAAATTTCAGCTTTGGTAATTGAAGTACGGCCCAAGGGAATTCATCTTGAAGCGAACAATTGTAGAGCACGATTGAGCTCAAGGAAGAAAAGTTGGCCATGAAATGAGGTACTGAAGAACTGATGTCGACCCCCGAGAGATCGAGTTCTTCGAGTCCATCTAAATTTTGTACTAATTTCTCCAGGCTAGGACTTCGAAGCTGTAATGGATTCCCTGATAGGTCTAACGAAGACAAGTGTATCAACTGTGAGATTCCAGTGGGGACTTGACCATTGAATCTAGAACGAGAGAGATTGAGGGTTCTTAACTGCTTTAGACGAGAAATCTGAGATGGAATTTGAGATCCAGTAAAGTCGATGATCGCGAGGTTAAGCCTCTGAAGATGAACAAGGTTGAAGAGGGTGCTGCTCGAGTTGATATGGCCATAGAGAAAGCTTTCGCTTAAGTCAAGGGCGATCACGTGGCCATCCTCTTCCTCGTTGCTGCACAACACCCCATCCCATAAACAACAATCAGAAGAACCATCATCCGATGCATTACTTGCGATCTTCCAAGAGTCCAACTTTCGAAACCCGTGGGTTTCGAAATATGCATGAGGAATGGTTTGCTTAAACAGGTACAAAGCCAAACATTCCTCATCATGACTTGATAACGATTCAGTACAAGTAACAATAAGCAACATGGATAGAAAGAGTTTTTGCAGGAAGTTGAAATGCTGGAAGCATGGAGCCATGAAGAAAAGAAGTTTGTCTGATTGTTATTGGATGCATAATGCTGTTTAAACCATGCTTATGTTCAAAATTTGTCCATAAGTGCATATATGAAGCTAAAGAGAAGGTTCATTTAACCACTAAAGTTAACATATCTTAAATAATACCTTATTTATTATAAAATAGAAATCTTTGACTCGGTTTGTGGTTTAATAAAACAAAGGTATTACTTTAACCATCATATTTGAAAACTTTTCTGGTCATCGTTTACCAAGTGAATGTGATTTTAAAATGTTGTATTTGTAGTTTATTATAAAAAAGAAAACTACAAAACCACAAAAAATGCCAAAAAATGCCAAAAAAAAACTCCAGAAAGCGTTCCAAGTTCAATCGACGAAAGCAAGCAGTATGCAACAATGAAAGAAAGCAGCGGGTAGGGTTTAATATTGGAATGAGGGTATTTATGTATTTTAAACACTTTTGGATGGAATGGATTTTAATTCCATCAGATTTACTAAGGAATAATCTCAATTCACACTTTTGATTTAGACAAAAGGCGAAAGCTTTTAAACATAGAGAAGCTATAATGTTTTGTACAATAAAGTTGAAAGGCTTTCCCTTGTGGCCACGGAGGTTCAAATGCGGTGATTCCGAGCTATCTGTAAAGCAGGTGGTCGTCCTAGGATTAGTCTAGCGGTTGGATATCCAGGTTAATAAAAAAAATGTAGCAATGGGCAATAATGACGAATCTTTTTAAGGTGGAGAAACACATCAATCCAACGTCTTTACCCTTTTTTTCTAAGTATATTTTAAAAACAACAATCATTGAAGTAAACATACTTTTAATAAATAAATCGGTCTAGGATGCGATAGGATATAAAGACGATGATAACTTATAAATAAATTACTACTAGTGATACAAAAACGACTATTTACGAAGTGGTGGAGCCACACAATCACAAAGGGTTAGGTGATTTCAGTGTCATCAATCATTTCGATGGGATTGTGATTCATTCGAGATCGATTAAGGTGATGAGACAAATATAAGTGATTTAAGAAGCACGGAGTGCATACTCACAAATGTTGCCCCTATCATCTGAGATCGCCATAATTAAGGCAAGGGTCAAGGAGGCCGCACCTCCTTACGAGGTTCTAAAGGTAGCGCCCCTAGCGGGGTTTCAAGGGGCATAGTGTGATCAGATGTCTGAAATCACCTTGGAAATTACCCAAAGGTCCGTTTGGTTTGCAAGGTGTCATCACCAGCGACGTAGTATGCATCCTTGCTAATTTTAAATTCGTGGTGGAACTAATTTGCGCCTAACTTTGCCGGAGTAACATAAACAAAGTATTACGATTTGAATTTTCCACAAGTTTATATTTAAAAAGCAGAATTATGAATCATTGTTGGCATTTGGCATAGTGGCGTTTTCTTCTTTTTGGAAGGAGAATATATAATATAGAAACCACTTGTTTGTCACATTCCATAAGTAAACTATTCTTTTTTGAATTTTTATATAATTTATATTATAAAAAAATACAAAATTAATCAAAAAATGGTGGACGATGATGGCTATGGAGGACGTGAAGATGGTGGATAATGGTGGTGGTGGAGGCCGACAGTGGTGGAGGAGGTAATTGTAGCTGATGTGGTGGTGGTGGTGGTGGTTATGGGGGAGGTGGAGGTGGTGGTGGCCGACAGTACTAGTGGTGGTGGAGATGGACGGCGGTGGTGGTTGTAGAGGACGTGAAGATGGTAGATAGTGGTAGTAGTAGTAGTAGTATCCCATACTTGTGAGCGATGGTGGTAGTAGTAACCAATGGTGGTGACGGGTAGTGGTTATGGTGGAGGTGAGGTGGCTCATGGTGGTAATGGTGGTGGAGATAAACGGTGGTGTCGGTGGTGGAGGAGGTTGTTGTAGTAAAGGAGAAGATGGAGGTGGTCAATGGTGGTAGTGGTGGTGGTGTCGGTGGTCGATGGTGGTTATGGAGGTGGTGGAAGAGGTTATTGTAGTGAAGGAGGTGGAGGTGGCTGATAATGGCTACCAATGGCAGCGGCGGCCACGACTAGCGGTGGTGACCACTGAAACAAATAGCATATTAAAGTTATATATCAAACGAATGTTAATTAATAATATTTTAGTTTATGTCTCATTTTTTTCCATTTTGTTCTTCCTATTTTGGTGAAACAAGATTAATCCCTTTTTGCCTCATACTGTCTAACCTTGTCCCAGCTCTTATCTATCCTTTCATACAATCAAGATCGGATTTGACTGGTCAATAATTGCAACTTTGACTGATCAAGAATTGTGACTTTAACAGGTCAAAATTTGCGGCTATGCAAAAAATAGAGGGATTAGTTTTGTAATTTTTATAAATAAAAAATCTCACGCAATTATTGACCAGTCAAATCCGATCTTGATCGTATGAAGAGCTAAGATCACTTCTCAAATATTTACCACTTCTCAAAATAACCTATGGCTCTCTCTCTCTCTCTCTCTCTCTCTCTATATATATATATATATAGGGGCACGTTCAAATGAAAACTGTGCATTTCTAAGAAACCATGTAAACCAATTTCGACCAATAGGAAAATTTCATTTTTTTCTAATTAAAATAAATCAATAAGGGTATTTCAGTTATTTACAATATTTTCTATTAAATATGAAAGTTATTAATAAATCTTAATTAAGGAAACKTAATAAAGGAAATTGTATAAATGGTAACATTTAAATATTTAATTATATTATAATATTAAAATTTGAATTTCATATATTGTAATCTTTAAGAATCAGCTAACGAGTCTTGATGAAACAATTGAAGTGTATAATAAAATCATCAAATCGTAGATGAACAAAAAAAATCCASAAATGAAACAGGTTTCATGAACGTGAAACTGGTTCATGTTGCAAATAAATTATGTGAACCGAAACATTTTCATGGTGAACCTGTTGCATTGATTGTGTAGTTGATCCATTTAGTTGGTGAAGAGGAAAATGAAACCGGTGCATTTTTGTATTTGGTGCGTCATGAACTAATTGCATGATGAAACGAGGAAATGATTTTAATTTGCTACAAAATCTTGAAGATTGTAACCTGCTCCAGAATATTGAAGATTGTAAGGCTTAATTAAATGAATGAATCTATCAAATCAGTGGTGAAATAAGAAAATTACTGTACTCGAAATAGGTTTCATGAAAGTGAAACTGGTTCATGGCGTTATTGAGCATGACTAGTGAAACGGTTGCATAATGTATTTGGTTCGTCATGAAATAATTGCATGATGAAACGGGTACATGAAGAAACTGCTCCAGAATCTTGAAGATTGTAATATGTTTTAGAATCTTTAAGATTGCAAGGCTTAAAGAAATTAATGCATCAAACCAGAACTTAAGGAAGAAAATAATTTTGCATGAAAAAAGATTCATGAAAAAAGATTCATGAAAGTAAACTAATATTGGAAGAAAATAATTTTGCATGAAAAAAGATTCATGAAAGTAAACTAATCTTGAAAGAAAATAATTTTGCATGAAAAAAGATTCATGAAAGATCGAGTAGGATGTTACCAAATATTAAATTTTGTTTACCATTTATGCTCTTACTGTTGAAATAAAATAAAATTTTAATATATATATTTTTTTAATTTCCTAAAATGAAGTAAACTAATCTTGGCCATTGATCAAGAAAATGGATGGATGAGATTGATTTACACGGTTTACACAAATGGAGCCGGTTTTTATTTGAACGCTCCTCTCTCTCTCTCTCTCTCCCTCTCTCCCTCTCTCTCTCTCTCTATATATATAAATATATATATATATATATATATATATATCCCTTTGCACACCATTACAATCACAATGCACATGAGCTTATGTTGTGCAAATCCCTTTAACCCAAGAATCAATTATCAAACCACATGTGTTAATTCCCAACATGTATTAATACTGTATCACAATTAACAATAATAATTCAAGATACCAATAAGATAGAACATTAACACTATATCATTTAATCACATATGCATTTCAGCTTAAAATGGTCGAAAAGAAACTCAGCTTGATCTGATAAACAAAGATATAAACTTTAATTGAAATGAGAAATCACAAACGAACACTTGAATCTGAATTAGGTAAGCATGGATCACAATCAAGAGGGATAGACTTAACCTTATCTCTAAACAAACACACAACCAAGGTCTTGATAATGGTCGCACAAATCACTAGATATGCCCAGTTCAACCTGCACAACCCAATTTCTGCCTAAAAAGTTAATCAAACTTAAGATAACACTCATTTCATCAATAGGACAATTATAAACCAACTTTGATCCCAAATTGAGCATGAAGGAAAAATGAGAAAAACTCACAGTAGTGAGTTACGTGACGAGCCGAACGATTTACCGTGCGACTTAAGTCGCAGACTAGGTCGCATGAATCACTGGTTTTCGATCTATTTTCCCTTGCTCTTGGCCTGCAATTCAAAACTCAAACCAATTCAATTTAAAATAAGGATCAATTTGAAAAAAGTGAAACCCATAATGATCAAAAGTGTAATTAGTTTAAAATAAGAACGAAACTTAATATTAAGTGATACTTAGGAACCATTTACCAAATACTTATCTGGTAAGTGCTTATTAAGTTTAAAATGAATATGGGAAGAACCAATAATCTTACCCGGTAAGTAAAGACGACGACTTTTACCACGGTTAACGGTTACCGAGTAAATTATTGTATATGATACCGTTTTGGTGGACTAAAATCTTACCCTGTAAGTAAACAACAGTATTGAATTTTGCCGATAAATTCTTTCTCGGAAAAGTGTTTGGTAAACAGGCCCTTAGATGGACCAAAATTGTAATTTACTCTTGGTTCTTTTTTTAGCAAGTATGCTTGTGCAAATGAAATTAAAGTACCTCTACAACGCATAAGTCATGCATAAGTCATAAAATTGAGTGGAAATGTTATTCGATAGATTTTCTGTATTAAAAAAACAAATTAGAAGGGTACTCGTGCAATATAGCGAGATACATCTTGATTTTAATATTTCATTTTATTCTTTATTTCAGTTGATGTTATAATATGGTCTTATGTGATTTTAAAAAAAGCGATTATATTTTTATTTTTCAATAAAATATAAATTTGAGATATTATAAAAATTTGAGAAAAATATATCGATATTAGTATCAAATTAACTATTTAAAATTCCTCATTTTTTGTGTAAATTTTCAATTCAATTTTCTTTATTGTAATTTAATTTATGTTCAATAAAGAAGTAATTTATATTTGGTTTAATAATAATTTTTTTTTTATAAAGTTAATAATTAATTATTTTGTTAGAACTTGATAATTATCCTAATTATATTTTAGATATTTTATATTTTAAAATAAATGTTTATCCTCTATTTGATTATATTTATCCGCAGTTAGTTACACGAATTCAAACACGAAGCTTAAATAAGTTGTACTTATGCATAATTTACTTGTAATCTTGAATTTAAATAATATGCATCAATATATAGTACTTCATACATAAAAAATGGTTTTTAAATTTTTTTGTCAAATGCTTTATAATGTAGTATAGATATCCAAATTATATCTCAATTTTTTAAGAACGTCTCTAACAACTTGATTTATAAACCTTTGAGTAAATTACAATTTTGGTATTTGGTTTGTTGATTTTTTTAGGTTAGATCCTTATAAAAATTTTATTTCAACAAAGCCCCATACAATATACAAAAATGTTCAGTTTTAGTCCTTCCAACTAACATCTATTAGTTTGCAACAGTTAAATCCCTCACATGCCTTAAATTAAAACACCAAAATCAAATCATAAATCTACCCCTAAAGTTAAAGAAGTCATTCGCACACAAAAAACCAAACAAACTAATAAACCAAAAGGAGCAAATCGAGAGAAGCTCCTTCCAAATTCGGCTCGTCCTGCTGTTGCCAAATAACCACCAAACAAAGATCACAATCGAGAAGGTTTTAGGACCCATAGAAATCCTCCAAAAAAGTAGATCGAGGGGCGTAGCTGATGGATAATAGACTACCCTAAAAGGCTGCAAATGCAGTCGATGCTGGAGACCATCCCCCCAAAGCGGCTTCGGGGTGATGGTGCAATCATTGATTGAAAGCAGACCCATAATCCCCCCCCCCTCCCAAAAAAAAAGAGGCGTCATTAGCGGTGTTGGTTTGGAGAAGAGAGAGTTGTAAGAGAAGACCGAAAGGAGGTTGGTGAGAGAGATAGAGAGAGTTAAAGGAAGGGTGTGTATAAAAAGACAATTATACCCTCATGCACCCAGGAGACGAGGGACTTAATTGTTGCAAAATAACAGACGTTAGTTGGAGGGACTTAACCGTAAGAGGATTAATTTTTACCTAGGAGGGGTTTCCCAATCGTCTTTTATGGGGAGTAGAAGAGGTAGGTTTAAGAGATAAATGAGAAATAAAACAGAAAACCGGGTTTTATTGGTGCTGGGCCATTCCTGGCATCCTGCCCGACGATCTCGCCACTATCACTATAGCGGGCACCGCCCGGATTGTACCAAGACTTCTCCTCTTTTGGCGATCTTGACAACTATAGTAGCCCTATGTCACTATTGCCGGGCACTATAGCCCCGAGAGTTTAACACCATTTTAACCTATTCGGCTCCCTTCCTTGCCTAAATTGGTGTTTTATATTCTTTTTACCTTTTGTAATCTATAAATATAAAGATTATAAAACTGTTGGCTCCATATATTTATTTTGTAACCAAATGAACATGAAAATCAATATTTTTCATTAATTTGAAAACAAATTTCAAAAGTAAAATATATATTATTGTGTGATAAATCGTATTTCTTGATGGAATATATCAAAATATATTTAAAAAAGGAAAAAGAATGCAACACATTTGGAGTGATGGCTCCACCCCTGTCAATACAGAAACCAAAGAATTCGGAGCCGTTTATCTAAACAATTACCCGGTAAACGTTTAACGGTAAGTTTTAACTCTATTTCTTACTTATCGGGTAAGATTTTAGTCTACCAAACGACATCGTATGTAATAATTTACCAGGTAAGCACTACCATGGTAAGAGTCGTCACCATTACTTACCGGGTAAGACCCTCGTTTCGTGACTTCGCTCTTAGTAGGTAAGATTTTTGGTTCTTGTCATATTCATCCGGTAAGGGAATGTGACTTGATAAGCGCTTACCCGAGTAAGCATTTGGTAAACGGCTAACCAAATGCTTACTCGAGTAAGCGCTTACCACGTCATGTTCCCTTACCAAATGATTATGGCACGGACCAAGAATCTTACATGGTAAGAGCGAAGGCAAAGACTCTTATTACGATTAACGCTTACCCGGTAAATTATTATATACAATATCGTTTTGGTAGACTAAAATTTTACTCGATAAGTAAAACGATAGAATTGAATTTTACCGTTAAATGTTTAAGTAAATAGTTCCTTCGATAGAAGACATACCATGTGCTCCGTCTCATAAGACGTTTGTGTCATTTGTCCCTCCGTGGCTCCACCCCCATCAAAACCTCAAAGACTTTGAAGTCTTTCCATAGTTTACTTGTAAAAGTCTCTCAGCTTCGTCTTCTTTTCTATTTCACCACATAATTAACGATCATAATACACATATAAACATTACACATTTACAAACAATTAATCAAACTCAAAGCTTCTTTTCTTCATGGCTGCATACTTCCAGCATTTCACCTTCCTCTTAAAAATCGTTCTATTCACGTTGCTCCTTGTCACATGCACTCGATCATCATTAACCCATGATCAGGAATGTTTGGCTTTGTACCTGTTTAAGCAAAGTTTTCCTCATGCATCAGAGTTTCAAACATTTGACTCTTGGAAGATAACAAGTAATACATCAAATGATGGATCTGATTGTTGTTTGTGGGATGGGGTGGTGTGCAACAACGAAGAAGACGTGATCGCTCTTGAATTGAGCGAAAGGCATCTTCGTGGCCATATCAACTCGAGCAGCAGCCTCTTCAACCTTGTTCATCTTCAGACGCTTAACCTCGCGATCAACGACTTTACTGGATCTCAAATTCCATCTCAGATTTCTCGTCTAAAGCAGTTAAGAACCCTCAATCTCTCTCGTTCTGGATTCAATGGTCAAGTCCCCACTGGAATCTCACAGTTGATACACTTGTCTTCGTTAGACCTATCAGGGAATCCACTACAGCTTCGAAGTCCTAGCCTGGAGAAATTGGTACAAAATTTAAATGGACTTGAAGAACTCGATCTCTCAGGGGTCGACATCAGTTCTTCAGTACCTCATTTCATGGCCAACTTTTCTTCCTTGAGCTCAATCGTGCTCTTCAATTGTTCGCTTCAAGATGAATTCCCTTGGGCCGTACTTCAATTACCAAAGCTGAAATTTCTTGATGTGGCATCCAATCCCAGCCTCAGTGGTTCCTTCCCTGAGTTTCTTAACAACAGCTTACTTGAGCATCTGGATGTATTAGACACAAGTTTCTTTGGGATTGTACCAGAATCCATAAGCAACCTCCATCATTTGACATTCTTGCGCCTTACATCATGTTTTTTCTCCGGGAACATCCCAGGTTCACTCTCCAACATGACACAACTCTCTTACTTAAGTCTCTCTTATAATGAGTTCGTAGGCCAAGTTCCTTCATTGTTAAGACTTTCTGAACTCAATCATTTGGAACTTAGTGGTATCCAATTTGAGAAGAGACGTATGCCTGATTGGCTTGGCAAACTGACAAAGCTTAATAACTTGTATCTGAATCGTATGAACTTAGATGAAATCCCACCTTTTCTTTCAAACCTAACCAAACTTAGTCTTGTCATGATGGAAGATAATTCCATTCATGGTTCTATCCCATCTTCATTTATGAACCCAGTGGCGGACGCAGAAATTTTTTTTGTAGGGGGCACGATATAAAATAAAATAATAATTAACTTCAATTTCATACAAAAATGATAAAAAGTTACCTCTTACAACTGTGCCCTAAAGCATTTACCAATTACCACAAAATTAACCTAAAGCATTTAAGTATTTAACCATTTACCATTTACCATTTATCAATCACCACAAAATTAACCTAAAAACTAAAATACTACTAATTGATTAGAAATTTAGAAGTAGTCAAACTGTCAAAGCAAGGAAGCAACCAAGTAGGCAAGTAGTCTGTATGTAGTCAAGTAGAACACTAGAACAGTAGAACTAGAACTCTAGAAGTAGACAACTAAGAGTCTAAGACAAGTAGATAGTAGTCAATCTGTCAAAAGCCTCAAAGTCAAAGAAACAAAATAAACTTACAGAAAAGAGGGGAGAGCTCGAGAGCGGAGACTGGAGAGTGGAGAGCACACACAGTGACACAGAAGAAGAAGAACAGGCTCGCAGTCGCTGCGTCGCAGCCTCTCCTCGCAGTCGGTAGTCGGCTGTCGGCGTCGGTCGGGCCTCTCCTCGCCGTCCGCCACAGGCCACAGCGGCGACAGCGCCACTGGAAGTCTGGATCTGGATGAGGATGAAGAACAGCTGAACAAGAGAAGACTGAAGAAGAAGGAGTCCAAACCCACTTCACCGCACCGCTGCTTGCTGCCTTGCTGCTTCACGTCTTCAATCACAGATTCACAGAATCACAGGCTCGTTTTGCAAGTTGCAATTCAAAGGGGCCTCCTACCTCATATTGTTGGGGGCCCAATTACATCTTTAAAAAAATTACAAGTAAAAAAAAAAAATTTTGGGCTTTCCTGTTTATTTTTTGTTGGGGGCCCAGGACCCCAACCAGATTAAGCTGCGTCCGCCCCTGTATGAACCTGACCCAATTGAGAGTCATAAACCTTGCAGCAAATAAATTTCATGGACCAATTCCTAGCTCATTTTCCAACTTCAAACATCTTCAACTACTTTCTCTATTAAAGAATGATTTTAGTGGTAGGGTGGACTTGGATATGTTCGTAGGACTCAACCAACTCGATACTCTACATCTCTCTGGTAACAAAATATCATTTGTGGCCACCAGCAACTACACCAATGGCGCCCTACCAGAATTGAAATACCTAGGGCTAACCTCGTGCGATTTGAAGGAATTCCCTGCCATTTTGCGGTTCAGACACAAATTGAACGTCCTATTTCTCAGTGACAACAAAATTGGTGGTCGCGTACCAGAGTGGATGTGGAACAATAATCTTGAATCGCTAGAGATAATTGACGTTGAAAACAACTTCATCACTGGTTTTCATCAACATCAAAATTTTCTCCCATGGGGTCGTTTGAAATTTTTCAACATCGCGAATAATCAGCTACAAGGACGACTACCAATTCCACCACGGACCATGGTTGTTTATGCTGTCTCAAATAACAATCTGCAAGGAGAAATACCACCTTTATTATGTGAATTGAACTCTCTTCTGGTGCTAGATTTGTCTTCTAACAACATAAGTGGAACTCTTCCTTCTTGTTTGGGCAGATTAAGCAATTCCTTGTCGTCGTTGGATCTTAAAAGGAACAACTTTCAAGGCACAATGATGAATACATTTACCCAAGGATGCATGCTGAGGAAGATTGATTTGAGCGAAAATCAAATTGTGGGTCAGGTATCAAAATCCTTGACAAATTGTATCAACTTAGAGTTTCTCTCTCTTGGAGATAACTCTTTCGATGATGCCTTTCCGTTTTGGTTGGGTACTCTTGTGGAGTTGCAAGTCCTCATGCTGGGGTCCAACAGATTTTATGGTGGAATTCAAGGTCCGACAATGGTTATCTCACAGTTTCCCAAGTTGCGGATAATAGATCTCTCCAACAATGGTTTTGGTGGTCCATTACCCCATGAGTACTTCCAAAGTTGGAATGCAATGAAGTCGGTTTATGATGGAAAATCATCTTTTCTGCAATCAAGGTTTCCATTATCAACATTTGAATTTTCGATTGCATACAGGATGACAATAACAAGCAAAGGTGTTAAAAGAGAGTACCCTCGTATTTTGGACATATTCACTGCTATTGATCTCTCTTGTAACAATTTTGAAGGACAAATCCCACAATCACTCCAAGATCTTCGTGGGCTTGAATCACTTAACCTTTCCAACAACCATCTTATTGGTGGTGTCTTGTCATCCTTGGGGAACCTAAAGAATCTTGAATCTTTGGATCTCTCCCGAAACGAGCTATCAGGAGAAATTCCTCATCAGTTGTTGCAACTCGGATTCCTTGCCATTTTGAATTTGTCATTCAACCATCTTCATGGACGCATACCACAAGGCGGACAATTCAATACATTTGAGAGTAACTCATACGAAGCAAATCCCGGATTGTGTGGAGAACCTTTATCCAACGACTGTCAAGATTCAAAGGTGTCAACACCTCCACAAACAAGCAAAAAGTCCGAGTCTTTCTTCCCAAGTGAAAGAGTTGACTGGATCGTGATATTCTCAGGAGTCGGAAGTGGGTTAGTAGTTGGGATTGTTATCGGGAACTTTTTGTATGCAAGGTACAGTGATTGGTTCATTGAGCGGTTTGGTATGAGGAAGGACAAATGGGTGAGGCCACTCCGCAATTGAAACCAAATCCTTTATTAAATAAAAGCATTAATTTGCCTCTTTTAATTTTTAGTAGATGCACACCCTATCCTGTATGATATATGATAGCAATATATTAAAAACTTGCTGGTTTGTGGTAAAGATACAGAAGGTGCCCAGCTTCTAGAAAAAAGGCGCATTTGCCAATCATCTATTCTACTGCATTCCATTCCCCATGAAACAAAACAAGTATGAAGACAAACCCATTTACTTAAAATACAAGAGCATAACAATGCATCATTATTTGCTGTTGTTTTCATCATCTTCCTTCACAATTCGCAATTCACAAACACATACAAGTAACAACTTTACCTGCCATTGCCAATGCCACTACCATCGCCATTGTCATCGCCATTGCCAATCTACATAACTTTTGCTCACCTATACAAAACACAAGTATGATACCATTATAAACGCTAAACTCTCTCCACATCATCCATCGTTGCTTTCGAAGGGGACCCATTGAATTAAATCAGAAAGAGGTTTTTGCAGTCCGATATATTGTGATTTCTGCTGTTTAAATTATATGAGGTCTTCTTCGTCAACAAGCACGAGAATCAAATAATACTTCAATTCACACTAAATTTGTTGTTAATATTGTGGTGTGTTGGCGTCAGTTCATATGGGCTCAGGAACAACTTGATTGGAACCTGTCAATAACATATTGCATATCAAATTTAAAAGTTAAATGGAACAAACTACACCACATGTCTTGACTAAAAATACCAACAGAACAACAATAAAATAATACAGAATGGATGCGACATGCAAATCCAAATGAAGTAAACATATATTAATAGCCAATAGAAGCAAAAGCACTTAAACATACTACATAATCAAATGAAAGATCCAATAGAAGCAGAAGCATGTAATGTTAGCCAACAAAAACAGATAGTGATAGCAAGCTCATGAATTCAAAGGTTAAAGCTTAAAGTCATTGTCTGTTAAATTGTTGAAGCACGAAAGCAATGAAGTAGTCAAACAGATAAATATAGCAACAACCAATAGCCTTTGACTTTGGTACTAGATAAAAAACACAAATAAGGAATAAGCAGTAGTAAAAAACAAAAGGTCAACTTAACTTTTTACATATTATCTTCTCCAATCTAATTAATTAATACATTTTGGCCCATATTTTGAACCGGTCGAGCCACATGCCTGCAAAACACATTAACGATTATTGGGAAAGGTAACAAAGAATACATAAGGAAAGCACCAATAAGAAACCGNGGGGAAGTTGCAGCTACCATGGAACCAGTGGCCGTACAAACCATGAAATAAACCTACAAAACACTTACCATTACTCAATTTAATGAAATTGTTAAATGATAAATACTCAAAACAATCCAAATTAGGATAAGTGGTAAAGAAGATCTTCATCACAACATATGTCCAACAATGCACGACTTTGATCTATGTTGTTGGAAAGATCTCTATATGCAAAAATCAAATTAGCCTAAATCGCAGTGTGTATTTGAATAGATCCTACAAAGAAATTAGCTCAAAAATTTAATAAAACACTAATTATTCTAAAATGAAAAGCATATATGAAAGATAAATTGTGAATAAATAAGAACAGTATGAAAGTTTTAACTAACCCGAAATTTTAGAATACCCTGGAAGCTCTCATTATAGATAGTAATAAGATATCATTTGTGGCCACTAACAACTACACGAATGGCACATTACCAGAATTGAGAATCGTTGGTCTTACTTCATGCAACTTGAAAGAATACCCTGCTTTTTTGCGAAAATGACTGCCTTATTTCTCGCCGGCAACAATATATTCATGGCCTCATACCAGAGTGGAGTTGGAATAACAGCCAAGAAACATTAGAGACCATTGACCTTTCAGACAACTTCATCACTGGTTTTCATCAAAGTCATTATTTTCTCCCATTGGTTCGTTTGAAATGTTCCCTCATTGCAAATAATAAGCTACACAGACGGCTACCAATTCCACCAAGAACGACCGAGATTTATGATGTCGCATATAACCAACCATCTGGAAGGAGAAATACCCCCGTTGATATGTGAAGTGAAATCTCTTCGAATTCTAATTTTATCTTCTAACAACATAACTGGAATTCTCCCTAGTCCTTGTTTTGGCAGCTTAGCCAATTCCTTGGTTGCGTTGGATCGTAATTACAAACAACCTTCAAGGCACAATGATGAATTCATTTACGCAGGAAAGCCCACTGATGAGTATTGATTTAAGCGAAAATCAGTTTGTGGTTCAGGTATCAAAATCGTTACAAGATCTTCATGAGCTTCAGTCCAACAACCATTTTACTGGTCATGTCATGTCTTGTCATCATTGGGGAATCTTGAAGCTTTGGATCTCTCCCAAAACAAGCTATCAGGAGAGATTCCTCAACAGTTGTTGCAGCTAGACTTCCTTGCCATTTTGAATTTGTCATTCAACCATCTAAATGGAAGCATACTCAAGGGGCACACTTGGATACATTCGAGAACAGCTCCTATATACATGGGGAATCTTGACTTGGATTATGTGGAAAACCTTTGTCCAAGGAATGTCAAACTTCAAACCTCTAGAAGCAAGCAATAAGTCGGAGTCTTTCCTCCCAAGTGAAAGAGTTGTTTCTTTTTTTCCTTTTTCTGAATCAATGAAAGACAGAAATGATTGATTTACCCCTCGATATGAATTAAGCATTGTTTGATTCACTCCGTTTGTTTCTGAATTAGATGTCTGAACCATTCTCTATAATACAAGTTTTTAGGGAAGTTCTCACAAGACTAGGATCCTATCAACTAATCCTAATTTTTGGTTATTTATGATTGCCGAGTATTTAGCATGCTTTATCTATAACTAGTTGTCTATTTGTGCAAAGTGACGTGATACATCTCTGATTTTGAAGTCAATAATTCGAACCCTCAGTTTTTGCTTCTCTCAATTTTATTTTTATGGCTTTATATTGTTTTGAATTTAAATCGATTGTATATAAGTTCAATGTTACTATGGCTAATTTACCAGTGAATTGGAAAGAGAATTGTGAGATTACGAGGTTTCGAAACCCACATAATTCATGTAAAGTTGGTCGTTCAAGAAAATCAATTCTGTTAGATAAATCTTGCATTTGGAATCCTAGATCTTAAAGCTTCATTGATTGGCATGGAAAAGTTAAATCGAATTGGAAATTATTTTCTCTCCAATTTGAATGAGAACTTGTTATCTTACCAACATAATGCAAAAGGATGTAACGTTAAATGGAAATCAACTAAAAATATCTACCAAAACCGATGAAAACACAAAAATGCCAATGTAATATCCCCAATCGATGATCAAACGGAAATTAATTAAAAATCAAATAAAATATACGTGCAAACAATCAAACTAAATGCAAAATGCAATTATAAACTAATATGAATGCATGCGGAAAATGCAAAGAACAATGCATATGCATCTTTAGATAGATTTTTTTAATGTATTCATCACATATACACCTTCCTTTAACCTTTTGTTTTACCTTTTCATGATATTTAGCCTTATTATGTTAAATTGTTAATTTCGAACATGTAATTCAAGTTGTTTAAGTATGTATGTATGTTTAAGTCTTTCTTTGTATTTTGAGGAGACATTGATGATAGTGTAATTCGGACCCATAAGTTTTCCTTAGGGGATGTACTTTTAAAGTGTATCAAAGGTCTAAGGTGGTGGTGTTAGGTGAAGCGGTGAGTTTTATAAAGTTTGTGAGGTGTGGTGGTCGATGAGGGGCTGTTTGGAGGAGGGTCAGAGGTGATGATGGTTGGTGAGGGGCGGAGGGTTGAAGGTGGTGGTGGTGGTGGTTGGTGAAGCCGTGAAGGGGATGCTTAGAGGAAGGCAGGAGGTGGTGGCGGTCAGTGAAGAGGATGATGCAAAGATCGGCAGTGAAGATGAGAAAGATTAAAGGGGACGTTTATCAAACACTTGTCCGGTGAGTACTTGTTGATAAAATTCAACACTATCATTTACTTATCGGGTAAGGTTTTAGTCAACACAAATGGCATCATATGTAACAATTTTACCCGGTAAGTGCTAAATGTGGTAAGAGTCATTGCCCTCACATACCGGATAAGACTCTTGGTCCTTGTCTTGCTCTTGGGATCATGAATAACACCATTTCCCCTTTTATTAATCATAAATACCAATTGCACTCAATCTTTTTCATTTTACTAAAAATATTTTTCTATTAATATTTTTTTATTAAAATATTTTTTTTTCTTTTGCATATAAGTATGTACAATTCTTTTCTAAATTGTATAAAAACTTGTTTTTTGAAGTTGAATCATATATTATGTGAATTATGTAAAGATATCTCCATCCTCTTCAATAATACTTTAATGTTGTGTTTGATACATGCGACATGATAGAATAGGACGGAACAAAATTCAAATGTCTCACATTTGGTGCGACATGACACAGCACAAGAACTCACTGTCTCACGTTTAATGCAACATGAGACAAAGATAAGAGCTGGGACAAGGTTAGACAGTATGGGGCAAAAAAAGCTTAATCTTGTTTCACCAAGATAAGTAGAAGAAAATGGAAAAAAATGAGACATAAACTAAAATATTACTAATTAATATTCGTTTGATGTATAACTTCAATATGATATTTGTTTCAGTGGTCACCACCGCTAGTCGTGGCCACCGCCACCATCGGTAGCCATCGTCGGCCACATCCATCTTCTTCACTACAATAGTTCCACCACCTCTACAACCACCGTCGACCATCAACCACTACCATCCATCACCACCTCCAGAACCACCACTGGCCACCGACACCACCACCACTACCACCATTGACCACCTCCATCTTCTCCTTCTCCTCCAATACAACAACCTCCTCCACCACCTTAACAACCACCATCGGCCACCGACCACCACCGTTCATCTCCACCACATAGGTCACCTCACTTCCACCATAACCACTACCCTTGACTACCACTACCTGTCACCACCATTGGTTACTAGTACCACCA